TCTTGTGCTCAGTGAGTAGGAAACAGTGAACATTGTGTAGGATCCCTGTCAGCCAGAATGCAACTTATGTCTTTGTATGTATTATATGTTATCATTATTCTTAAACGGATAATCCACCGGAAAATCTAATTGCTGTCATAATTTACTCAACATCATTTCAATTCTGTATGACTTTTTTTTTTTTCTTCTGTGAAACACAAAATTTGTGTTGTCCAGTTCTGTTGGTTTGGACCCCATTGACTTTCATTGTATGGACAAAAATTTTTTTTTAAATATGCCTGAAGTTTCAATTTTGGGTAAACTATCCATGAACAGGTGGACTGTTTGTGAATTGTTTGTGACACCAGTCTATTATTGTGGTTTGATCTATTTCAGATGTACCTACCCCTAAACGGCACATTAAAAAAAACAAGCAAATTATGCTCTGTAACTTTATATATTAGCCACTGTATCTAGGAATTTCTTAAGCAGAAGTAACTACAAAGTGGTCCAAAATTTATGGTGACAGAAAGTCTGGCTATGTGAGACTTGAAACTTGAGACAAAACCTGCTAGCAATGTTCATACTCTTTTAAAGGTCAATCTACTGTAAAATGTATTGCACTGACTAACTGCAGATTAAGGGTCTTTTCTCATGCCTGAAGGAAAGGAAATGTCTGAAAAGTTCATTTGACATTTGTCAGAATTCCAGACCCCATTCCTGTAGTAGAGATGTCTTACCATGCCCGTTTCAGTCTCATTAAGTGCTCGTGATGAGAAATGACTTTCATTGGCCATATAAGTGACTCCAGTCATAACATTATGAGTATGATTAAGAACTCCTGGGTGCACGTCAGTAATGAAAATCAAGGGAAAATCGCTTGAAAAAAATTGGCCAATACATCATGCAGGCTAGGATAATTGGATGCTATTATGTAAACTAGCCATGTGCAAAATAAATCATTATACATCGGTCAGACGGCCCCCTTATCTAAATTTTGTGGGCATTGTTCTTACTTTTAGGGCTGTCAAAAAAAAATTCGAATTTCGATTATTCGTCGAATTTAAAATAAAAATCTTAATAAAACTTACACTGTCGTCGCATTTCGTGCGCCACTGATAAGGCTGCCTGACTCACACCTACAATTCGAATGCAACATTTTTGCATTCGAATTTTAGGTGTGCGTCAGGCAGCCTTATCAGTGGCGCACGAAATGCGACGACAGTGTAAGTGTCATTGCATTTTAATGCTTTTGTTAGCCTATCCAGTTGAACCCACTAGATATGGTGCTGCTACGTTGTTCATTCAAAATATTGCAGAAAAAGAGAACACTCAATGCGGGGAAGATGTTGTTTACGTCAAAGTCGAAACAAAGCCGTTCACACAGAACGCATATTTATCACATTTTCTAGAGGGACATCTATCACCGTGGCACTCGCGTCTCGCACAAGAGAGCCTGCCGCATGTTTAGAAAGCTATGTCAAATGATTCGCACAAGAGAGCCTGCCGCATGTTTAGAAAGCTATGTCAAATGATTGTAAGTTAAACTTTTAAAAAACATGTCTCAAGACTTTATGGCGGTTTTCCCCATCCCACTGCATCTCAAGTTTTTAAATTAAGAAAGTACACTTTGTGATTGGTTTTCGGTCCTTTGTATTAAACTATACATACATGCATGGTGCTGTTTTGTTTCTGATTGTTTAAGCAACTTTATTAATTATATAAGGTTTATAAACATTATTTTAAACATTATGCACTTTTTTTCAAAGATAGTCATGTTATTTTATTATGCTTTGAAGAAACGTGCATAATACATAATATTTTGCTCGATGCGCCCTCTTGTGGCCTCAGGAGAGGCACCAAAAGTCCCCCCCCCAACTGAAATTATGTCTTTTAAATTAGAATATAATTTGACTATTGATAATATTTAAGTAAAAAATTTGAATTTAGTTTTTCAGCCATTTTGACAGCTCTACTTACTTTGATAGGTTGTCAGGAGAATCATTAGTCGAATCTCAAGTTTCCTTCATGAATCACAAAAGTTGTGCTAAAGAAAGTAAGCAAAAGTAAAGCAAGCAAGCATATCTTAAGGTAGTTAGTGAACAAATACATGTATAGCCACAAACTGTTTGAATTTATTTTAGATGGAGTTCCTTCAAACACATCATGTCATGGCACTGCAGGGTTCCACTACCCCATTTTGCTCTGCTTTGTCCTCGACTGAACTGAGACATCACACAGAGACATTAGTTTCAGTAGTTTCACAGCCCTGAGACAAATTGCATCGCTAACTCAAGCAACAAACAACTGTTATATTATGTATTATAGTCTAGAAGCAGTGTTAGTTTGTTGTCTTATAACTAGGGTAATGATCCTACATTATAATCCAAAGATGTACAGTAAAAGGATCTTTAAAAGATTAGCCAAACTTGCACACACTTTCTCACTTTTTCTTAGATTTATCAAAAGTTGCAGCATCAAGATAAACTGAAACTACTGAAAATATTTTGCCAATATGTAAGCATATTACCATTCAAACGTTTGAGGTTTTTAAGATTTTTTTCTCTCTTATGCTCACCAAGGCTGCATTTATTTGACCAAAAATACAGTAAAACAGTAATTGTCACAATAACAGGGTTTGACGTTCAACAGCGGATAGAACTTGGGACTGGGAACACTTTAAATACACAGAACAGGATGACAAGACACACCTGGGATCAATGGAAATAAACAGGGAACGCCTGGAATCAAAGCAACCTAATCAAGACAGGAACAGGAAACTAACCAAATATGGGCATAGGAAGGCACATGGGGAGCAAGACACAGACAAAACATAGAACAGGCCCCTTGTCCAAATACCCACACTTGCGGTCTTGGCCACTTGAGAGCACGTGCGCGCGACAGGAAGTAAGTGCGCAAGACTGTCCCAGGTCTTAAAAACGCCAGAGCGCAGTGCCCTTAAAGCACACCATCTCAAATACCGCTCCGGAGCGCTATTCGAGGCTTAGTGTATCCCATCATGCATCATGTTCTGGAAATAAATCGTGAGACTTTTTGCCGAGATCTCGCGAGAGGTCACGGAAACCTTTCCAATGCAAGTTAAATATTAATATAATAATTAGCCATTACATATAATTTGGTAGAAAAACAGTGTTTTTACGTTTTATTGGTGCAAAGATGAGTAGTTGTGATATGTATTTTGTACAACATTTGCAACTGCTTTTTATCACTTAATTAGAAGCACCACAAATTAAAATTGTCATGTTATAAGGACTACTGAACAGACATTTAAAAGTTGATTTTAAAATGCAAAGTATTTAAAATAAAGCTATGTAAACACTTGCATTTTTACAACAATACAAGTGTGTCCTATCAGGTAATGAAAAGTTCGACACACACTTGTGGTCTTCATGCTCACCTGGGGGTGGAGCCGACACTGGAGCGAGCTCTGGGGCTGGAGCCGACACTGGAGCCTCATGAACGAATGACGGGCTTGCCATATTATCGTCCGGCGGGCTTGTCACATTAACGTCCATTAGGTCCACGGGGCGATGGTAGTTGGCCCCGTGCCAGATCAGCGAGTTTATGGTGGCATCAAGGGCCATGGCGAGCCTGCAGAACTCCCAGGAATACTCGATAAAGGGGAGATCGCGGCGAGCTAGGGCAGAGAACCGAGCGGCAATTTCCATAGCCGCGGGGAAACAAACCAGGAAAACAAAAACTTCTCAAAAAAGGGGGAAAAAACAAACGCGAGGAGAAGTCGCCGCTCACTTTCTGTATTGGTCCGCTGTTCTGTCACAATACACCAGACAATACACTAGAGAGGAACGAGGAGACGCTGGAGAATACTTTAACAAGACTTTTAATCCCATGAACCAAGGGAGACGAACTCAGGATGACGTTTAAAAGCGGACAGAGAACTTGGGACTGGGAACACTTTAAATACACAGAACAGGATGACAAGAAACACCTGGGATCAATGGAAATAAAACGGGGAACACCTGGAATCAAATCAATCTAATCAATACAGGAACAGGAAACTAATCAAATATGGGCATAGGAAGGCGCATGGGGCGCAAGACACAGACAAAACATGGAACGGAGTCTGACAGTAATATTGTGAAATATTATTACAGTTAGCAGCCATTACTCCGGTCTTCACTGTCACTTGATCTCTCAGAAACCATTCTAATGTGTTGATTTGGTGCTTAAGAAAGAATTTATTATCAATATTTATCTCTAGAATTTAACAATTAAAAATGTGGGTTTTTTTTTTTTTTTTTTTACTTGTAACGCAAAATTTGA